GTCAGTGATAGTATGCAGCCTGATCCCATGTCTTTGAAAAGTGCAGTTTAAGGATCGTCAGCTGAGAACAGCAGCAGAACATGGGGTCATCACAGGGGGAAGGCACAGGGAAGGAAGCGAGGAAAGAAAGGAGAAAGCCTGAAAAAGGAATGGGGAAGGCACAGGGCGAAGGAAAGGGCAAGACATAGGGGAATGAAGGGGAAAAGGACAGAATAGCTGTAGAGCAGCCTAAAAAGCAGCAAGAAGCTCTGGGAGGACTGTCAAGTGCCAGATTCTGTATCAGGTGTGTATCTGTGTGCATAAGTTGCCATTACCTGCTTTGGTCAGGGTTCTTGTCAGTTCTGAGCTCCTGCAGTGGGAAGAGCTCGAGCAACTGGTGCAGTTGCTGCAGACCTGTGGGATGGGGGAGTGCTTGATAAGGACAGCCCTGCAGCCCTCAGCTGGACAAATTTGTTCTGCATGCCCAGGCTGTGAGCTGTACAGTGCCCGGCCGCACTGCTCCAGCTCAGAGCCCGCTGCCTGCAGCTGCATCTTTGCTTCCTTCCCTCCTGCCCAGAGCCTTGAGGGTGCTCCCACAGTCCCCTGCCCACCCCCAAATGTCACAGAAGACAGCTGGCAGCGAGCTGCAGGAATCCCAGCACCCTGTTTTCCTTCTGCCTGCAGCTCTCTCCTCCTCTGCCACACAGGGCTCCAGCCTGCAAAATGGGAATGGTCGGGGGGAAAGGGAGTGCTGGCACAAGCGACTGCTGCAGCTGGCCAGGGAGGGTCTGCGTACCCTGTGCCCTTCTGGGCTATCTGTCCAGCTGCAGGAAGACCAGGGTAGCTGAGAAGCTGCTCCCATCAGAGGGGGGAACAAGCTGTCCTTCCACAGAGACATTCCTCTCACAGCCAGATGCACCCACACAACTCTCGGGCCATCTTGCCAATGGCAGCTGTGACACATCAATTCTTTCTAGGCAGGTGAATTAATTTTTTCCATCTGTAAACTTAGGGGGAGAACTGCAGTTTTTGTTAATCTTTGTAGGAACACTGTAATGGTCCACACAGAACTCAAAACTGCAGCTTTGTGCTAGATCTGGCTGCTTAGACTTGCTAGGACCTAAAACTTCCCATTTTATGGCATGAAAAGAACAAAAAGCGAAAAACAAAACCCGCAGGGAAAGAAAGGCTTTTGAAGAAAAATACGTGGAAGTATAAACAAGACAGAGGCTGAGTAAACATTCATATGGCCCTGCACTTTCTGCCAATGGGCTCTAATCCCATCATCATTAAATTTGCTGGGCAGTTGCATTTTGGTATTTCAACATTTAGAAACAATGCAACAGATGCTGGCAAAAAGAAAGAAGAAAAAAAGAAAAAAAACTTCTTTTTTTTTTAAAGCTATTTATATGCACTTGGCACAGCTCTCCTGGGTTTGGAGTAGTTTCCCTCTTTCTTCTTCGTCTTTCCCCCCACAACCCCTCCACTTCTAACTTCGTGCTCCTCTCCCATCCTCACAGCACACACACCGG